TGCCAAAGGAAATTTAATTTATTGAAACTAATGAAATCATCAGAGTAACAGTATGGTATAGCAGAGATAATATCAGACCAGGAAGAGAGATATATAGGCCCTGTGCATAGGGTTTGCCACTAAATGGCCTGGAAAACAAGGCAGTTCACTTTTTAAAGCTCCATTTGATCATTTATAAAATGAAGATTTTGTACCAAATAGTCTTCAAAGTTCCATCTACCCTTAGAATTTCATGTAACTATTTTCCTTTGAGGGAAAAAAAACTCTCTTTGAACATTCTGGTTTTATTTCCTTTGTATATGTACCCATTGGTGAGATTGCTGGATATGTTAGTTTGAGGATCCTCCTTACTGTTTTCTATAATGGCTGTACTACTGTGTATTCCCACCAACAGTAGACAAAAATTCACTTTGTTCCATTTTTATTGCCAGCACTTGATATCTTGTTTTATTGATGAGCAAATAGTGTTCTGGTAATCAGGCATCACTAAGGGGCCTCAAAGACCTCTGAGATCCTAATAGAGGCCTGGTAACAGGATTTCATTTTTCATATTCTTTGAAATCTTAATGTATGACACCCAGGCAAAATGATACAGTAGGCTGAACATGGTTTGGTCTGTTTTCTGCTGTTGTAACAGGATACCTAAGACTAAATAATTTATAATGAATAGAAATTTATTGACTCACATTTCTGGAATATTGGAAGTCCAAAATCAAGTCATCTGGTGAGGACAGATGGTAGAAGGTGGAAGGACAGCAGAGAGAGGTGGGAGAGAGAGAGGTGGAGGAGGAAAACTCATCTTTTTGTAAGAAACTGTCTCTTGCCCTACTGGCAATGAATGACTCATTCATTCATGAACGTATAACCCTCATAGCCCAATCACCTCTTAAAGGTCTCATAATAGTTTTACAAAGGGATTTAGATTTCAACATAAGTTTGGGAGAGCACAAACATTCAAACCACAGCACATGGGATGAGAAAGAAAATGAAGGTCAGGCAAGATGTCACCATTTATTAAAGATCCAGAGAAAAAGAGAAATACAGACTTGTCTACATACACACTGAGCTTCCTTCTTCTGTTAGGCTCTATTGTAAGCTTCAGTGTAACTGCTTTGGAAAAGGACTTCTTTGGGGCCTAATGCAGCCTAATCAATGTGAAGAAATGGACATGGTTCTGATTTCTCACTCATAACTAGAAAATTTGTCCAGAAATGATATGGAGAGTGAAAATACTGTTTGGATCAGGCAAAACTTTGATTTACATCTTCTGGTCTAAAACACTCCTTGAAATAATAAAACAGGATTCTGTCCCATGCCTTACCCATAGGAATACAGTGACTTTTGGCTGAGATCCCAACCTGTGGGTTAGCAGAGCAGAAGGTCTGAAGTCTAAAATACCCTCCCATAATATTAGTGTGGTCTTGTGTTCCATCGCAAGTTATAGAAGTAAATTTTCCTTAGTCTGGTTCAACTAAGAGAGATATACCAGCCGATCAGTTAAGAGCTTCTGGAACTCTCCTGAAGGTGACCTCTGATGGTCTGGGAACCCATCTCTCTATTTTTATCCTGCTATTCCTCTTAGGCAGTTCTCTCAGGCTTTTCTTCCTTATAGAATCATCCAGTCCAAAATTCTTCTCCAGAGAGGAATCTTAAAGCAGATTCCCTAAGATTCCAAATCTGGATTAGCACTGAGATAACACACTGAGTTAAGACTGCTCACAGTGGGTTTCCTTAAAGGCTACTACCATGTTTTAACTATCTCTGTATCCTTGTAATAGTTCCTGGCACACATAGCAATACAATAAAGAATACTGAATCATTGAATGAATGGCTATAATCTTAGACAACAGACAGAGCCACCATCTCTCTACAAGCAGAGGAACCTTGAAAAAGAAATATCATTCAGAAAGGAAGGCATTGAACTCATACTATTATAAGGAATCCTTTCCTGTGATGATAACACTAATACAGAAAGAAGAAATTATTTTTACTTTGGGGAAGTTTAAAAATTGGTATAGATAGCATAAGCTGTCAGCCCTTCCTCTTAGTGTTCTATTATTTATAGTCATTTTTTTGCCACCTCTATTTCCTGGTCTGTAACTATTACCAGGAGACTGGCAATACAAGCCCTCTTGTAATAGCTAAAATGGTATCACAGAGTTGATAGATAATAAGAATAGCCCAATACACTCTCAAATTTATTTACTTTAGCCAAATTCTAAAGACCTGACTTTCTTTCTTAAAGATAAGTCAGGAAGCATGTGTATGTGTTGGAGGAGGCACATTTAGTAAAGGGGAGAGCCTGCCTATACAGAGAAAATAATGAGTGTTTGTGTTGATGACTTTGTGTTATATAACTTGTTAAAAGGCAAGTAAACAGGCTTTTTTTCCATCTGGCACATGGTTAAAATAGGAATGAAAAAGTAATTCCTAAAAGAATAAGCTTCAGGCTTCAGTTATTTGAAAAATGCACTTATGTGGAATGCTTCATTTTCTGATGTTATAGAAAAAGTAAAGTGTACATATGGGTGGCAGAATTCACCCATGTACACAGTGTGACAAGAAACCAAGCCCAGTACCTTTCATTGGGAATGTTTCCTGCAAAAACAGTGATATCCTATACCTGACACCTCTCAGTTGTTGAATTTAAAATCTACTCTACATCTAGTCTTCAGATGCTTTCAAATTTTGGATCAATTAGTCATTTTCCCTTCCTATTTTTTCTATTGTAACTTTGGATTCAAGTTGTCAGGCTTCCCAGGCACATGTTGCCATAGGAGACTCTGTTTGTTGAGGGTGGAGTGGCTGTTTTTGGCAGGTTGGGGAGGAGCAATTAATCCTAATAGGTATATAGTACATTGAACACATGCATCTTTCTGACTTTTTCTCTGTATTTTTGCCTTTTTTTAAAAAATAAATTCTCTTCTCTTCCCAGATGACCCTTTAAGAGCAGAAAAGAAGGAGTTTCTAGAAATTATTTAGGGTCATCACAAGAGAAGCCTAGTGGGACCTAGAGAGGATCACCTAGGCATGACTGCTGTTTTCAACATACCTTCCCTAGTGTTGTTGAAATGAGACACCATTCATGGTGATGACTTTGCAAAGAAAGATTACCAAGATTCTTTAATAAACCCATTCAAAAGTGTAGGTTGTTCTTATGAAAAGATATCTTCAGATATATCTGTAATGCTCCATTAGCAAAAGTATACTTCTGTATGTAAGAAACGTATTTAGGGAACTCTTGAGATTTTTATAGGCAATTACATAGAAAAGACAAAAAGGAAAGGATTAAGTTTTGCCAATGAGTCAATCAAGGTTGGAGGAAAAGTAACAGATGCAGTGTTGGATGAGTAAAATATACTCCAAACACTTGAAAAGGAAAAAGGAAACTGTAGGATTTCAGTAGATGTATATGGGTCTCTCAGAGCATCCATAAGCACTAAAGATGTGCTGGCTATATTTTGACTGATTATTTGGCTGTAGTTTTTGGACCCATGACCTGACAGTATGGTTATCCTAAGTTCTCTAAAGCCACAGTAACTGGCTCCAGTGTCAAAGACAAATGCTCATCTCAGAATCTTTGTCTTTTATCCCAGTGAGGCCTGTGTTGAAAACAGAATTCATTTTCACTTCCTGCTCTCAACTGACATTGCTGTGCAGCTGTGCGACAGCTGTTGAGTTACACCCCACAAGTAGCAGCTTTTCAGTGGTTGGCAAACTGGTACACATCTGGAATGAGATGTTCAAATGACCTCAGGACCCCATAGAATAAATCAAAACATTGAAGTAATGTCTTGGATGAGCTTGTTCTGACGTAACTCAATTGCTGAAAATTATTTAATGGACACTTTTGAGTTGAATGATCTATCTCATCGATGTACAGTGGAATAAGGAATAGTCTTTTTATTGGACACTTAAGGAGAGGCGGGGGGAGAGAAAATGAGTTGAAAATGTAAATTGGAAGATGTCTCAGAACTTCAGAGTTCTGTGACCCAAAGAGTTTGACCACAAGAGGTTTCCTGAGGCTTTGCAGTTAACTTGGGATGGTGAGTGCCCAATGTTATAGTGCAGATGGGCTGGCAATGTACCCTCCAGGATGAGGTGAGGCTGTATTTCCCTTAGTAGGTAGCTCTCCAGAGAAGCAATGTATTGAGCTGTTGAACTGTTTTTTAACCACTTGTTGCTGTTCTTATCACACATTCCCTTTTGGGTTGAAACAGTCCATTAACTCTGGTTTAGTCTGGGCCCCTTTCCCATTCTGGTTCCTGTTAACTGGCATCAGTAATGGGAGTGGATGGAAACAGTTTAGCTCTCCCTGCTCTAACTCTGTGGCTAGCTGCTGTGCATCAGGTGGCTGCACATGTGGGAATATTTCAGTCTCAGCCCTGGTGTCCTCAGCCCTAAAACCACTGCACTCTGGACAGACATTTGAGTCTTCACAGTCCCCAAGATTGCTAGGATCTCTAAGTACTGGTGTTCAGTGCACTAGGATAGGGGTTAGAGGTTATGGCTTTTAATAGAAGCAGCACAAAGCCAAGATATGTGACAGCCAATGCCAAGTTCTGCCTGGTCCTGACTGTGGGATCTGGAAAGATTCTTATCATCTCTATGCATCTCTGTTTCTTCACTGATAATGTGGAAATTTTAAAACCAATCATGCCTAAAATGTAGCCTTTTTTTTGAAGGTCAAGAGAGTTAAAATGAGTGAAACTGTTTGTAAGCCACATCCTATAAAGACCTGTTATTACAAGAAGTCAAAAATGTGTCCCGGACCTTAGACTAGGCCAGGAGCAGGTGCTGAAAGTGAAATTGAACAATTCCTTGGATAATATGGTCTTATCTAGAGGTTTTGTAACTTCTGAAGAATGCGTCCCACCCCTTGGATGCTCTCCCACAATCTCTCTGGAGTTCCATATGTTAGGTTGTCATGTGGTGGTATTAGGGGAGAGTGGGAAAGGTGAGGCCAAGTAAAACTGCACATTGACTCTGCCTCCCTATAGCCTTTCCAAGCAGATGGTTGGTGTGATACTATCAACAACCGGGCCTACTGCCACTACGATGGAGGAGACTGCTGCTCTTCCACTCTCTCCTCCAAAAAGGTAAATGAGGGCACCTGGGAATGGGGAAGAGGGGTGGCTTCAGAACTGAGGCAGACTCATTGGCTAATTCTACTTCATAGTACATCATAATTGGTTTTTAATTAATTGCCAAGACAGAATTATAGTGAACAAACACTGGAGGTTCTAAAATGATAGAGTAATGAAGTTTAGGTTCTTATAAAACACTTGTCCTCTAAATTGTCAACCCAGTGACCCATTAGAAAAGCAATGGATTTTGCTGCTGAAAGTCTCATACATGCTTGTCATTATTCAGGAAACCCTGAAGGCAAGGAATATAATGGTTTCTACCCTTGAAGATGCTGGATACCAGTGACGTTCCTTCCAGTTATTACTTGTCTTTAAAATTAAGTTGATAGTCTTAGATAGTGCCTTATAAGTATATTGTAGGCACATGTTGAATGCTTCCACAAGCCACTTGGAACACTCTGACCCATATCCCGAGCAGTAACTCTTTTCTGGGTTCCTTTATCCTTTTTATTCTTGACTCTATTAAATTAGCAGATAGGCTCAGGTTAAGTCTGTAAAATCAAGTAGGTTGAGGTTTTGGGTAAAAATGTAAGTGCTCCAAAGATATTTGAAGCTAGTGGATAATTTGGTGAATCAGAAATACACAGATGTTTTTCCTTCCTTGTATGTGTCTCCATAATAAAACTGCACCTACCATGATTGCCTGTATGGAGACCTGAACACTATGTCTTTTTCTTGCTAATATTAACTGATCATTCACTATGTGCCAGGCACTATTCTCACCATTTAAATGAATTAATTTATTTAACTTAATGCAAAGCACTTAGAGGTTCATCACATCACTATCCAATTTGAACCACTCTTTTGTTCTAAAAACCAATAAATCCTGTACTTAGACAAACAGATCAAGAGCTTGGACCACAGTTCAGAAATCAGGCCAGCTAGTTTCAATTCTCACTTGTGAAAATAACTGGTCAGGGAACCCATCCCTACATAGAAAGGCATGATCAGTTAGGAGGAAAGCAAGCAATTCTCTCCCCACCTCATACTCTGTAAACTTAGGATTTGTCTTGATGAATCTCAATACTTGTGGCCAACATACACATTAATGAAGACTGTAATGGCATGTCACCCCTCTGTTGACAACTAAGGCACTTCATATGTTCAAATATGCTAGGAAATTTCCCCAAACAACCCATGCATTCTCCAGCTAGTTGCCCAATCACCAAGCACATCTCCTCATCATACTTAGTTTTGCATGTTATATATCTACTTGTTTTTGTCTTATTTGATTGCCAAAGCTCAAAAGGTAGAATCTTTGCCATTTTTATATCATGTTTCCAAAAGGTTCAGTTCTTTAGTTATGGAGACTCAAAAAGGATGCTTATCTGTTGGTAACAACATAAACAGGAAGAGAACAACTTTTGCTGGACCATCTCTGACCTGAGAGAGGGATAATTACATAAAGGAAGTAACATAACCACAAACAATGGGGGTAAAATGCAGTGTTTCCTGGACTCAAGAGAGGTAAAACTTCATGTTTACGAAGATGTCAAAGATGGTCTAAATCTCCTAAGAGCCACTGAGGAGTTAAAATCAGCTAGTCCATAGATTTTTGGCTTTTCATATGGTACTGTCCATAATTTGAGTTAAGTCATCCAATCTCTATTCTTCCCTGTAAAGAGAAAATGCTAGCATTTTTCTTTCTTGCTTCCCAGGAATTTTTTGATGATGCCATCAGCAAAAAAAAGAATACCACTTGCACTAGTGGCAATACTAGCAGTTCTAACAGTAGGTAGTTATAGATGTCTGACAATGTATAAGTTTATTGAAATTGTTCCTTTATTTCAACACATAGACACTTCTCTGGAGTGGTTTTTGTTGTTCTTCTCACTTTATATATGAAGAAAGCAAAGTAAAGGGTTGCCTTGTGTAACATGACATGATGTGTAAGTAAGAGAACTAAGTATTAATGTCAGGTTTATGACATTAACACATAATTCCATGCTTCCTCCTAGACCCTGTGAGCTAGTTGAAAAGCAGGAAGCTTAGCACAAAAATGGGTTATTTCAACCTCCCTTTCCTTCCCCTAGGTTATTCCATTTGCTGCTGACTGTGACTTGGATGAATGCACCTGCCGAGACCCAAAGGCAGAAGAAAATCAGTAACTGGGACCAAGCCCTTCCCTCCTCAGCCAGAGAGAGGAAACAGAGGGCAAATGAAGAGAAGAGGTCATGCAGTGAAGGAAGGAGAGTGCTGGAAGGATTCTTTAAGAAATACAAGAGGGTATTTATAGGTGCCAACTCATGCATCAAGTAGCCCAATTAGGAAAGAATTACAAGCAAAAGTTTAAAGTGAAAGTTGATTAAAAGTGCATGGAGAAATAATAAATAAACAGGGCCCTTCTCTCCCATCTGTATTCTACTCAACCCCATTTCAACTCTTGCCCTACTCCTCACTTTGCACCTTGTCAATGTGTAAACCAATATCAGAATGCTAGAAGTTGCCAGAGACACTCTACTCATACCCATTTCAAATGGATTGTCATCTTTCAGGGCTTGTGTACTATAAACTGGCCCTTTCCCTTTCTCTTGTGTAGTCTCTCTTAAATAACGAGGTTAGTTATTAATTCTTTATGAGTATTTAAGCATAATTATATAAATATATTATATATTATATTTTTACTGTTTACTAAGCTAAAAACTATCCATTGTTCCACACGTGCTGCTGTGAAGTTCTGGTCCAATATGAATGCTGAGGCTTTGAGGACAGAAAGACAAGTTCTTCTGCCATCTTTCTATGGATATGGATTGGCAAGTTGAATGGGAAGTAGGGAAGGAAAGAGAGAAAGTAGATGGAGTTCTGAATGCTAGCACATCAGCTAATCATCTTTATCATGACCTGGGAACCAGGCCTATTTAAAGGAGATGGAGGTTGGAATGATAATTCCAAGAGGCATGGAAAGTTGGGTATGAGAACTCATTGGCTATGGATCCAGGAGAGCTAGACAATATTTCTTATCTTTCAAATAAGAATACATTAATTGTACTTCTCGGAACACTCCATTGGGGTTGGTGAGGTCCAGAATCTTCTCTGCTTCCATATGGGCCTATTCCAAGTATGGCTTTCAGCCAGTCAATCAGTCAACAAGATTGTATTAGGGCATTTTCTCTGAGCACCAAGATTACTGGAACTCATATTCTTCATACCTGACCTGTGGTCTCACTCCTTGTTAAAAGTCCCCAAGATTGACAGTCATTTAAAGCCACATCCCCAACTATTGATTATAGAGTGGGGAGAATGTTCTGGAAATGACATAGGGGAAAGGTGGGAAAAGATAAAAGAGTGAGCAGGAATGGGAGGACCCAAATGAGGTCAAAGAGATGTGGGGAAGTTGAATTTAAAGATTTGGGAATAAGAGGATGATTCAAGGAGATTCAGTCCTTGTTCCAAGTCTTCAAAGAATACCAAAGTGGATCCTCTGAGTAATGTAGAGTCTGAAATAAATTGTATTCAAACACAATGCATAAAATCTGTGATCCAGAGATTTTAAATTAGACTAGTCATAGAATCACATGGAGCAAGGGTGACACTCTGTGGAAAGAAAGGAGAATTTCAACTACTTAGGGTCCATTTTGTTGTCTTTGCCTTCTCTTGTTTAATAGGTAGATGGACTGTACATGAAATGACCACATTAACTCTGACTCTGTTTATATACATCCCAGGTTCACTTTTTTGCATGTGGTATATTCATTTTTTATAAGAGTTTCTGGATTAGGCCTTGGAGAAAGAAAGTAAGGAGCTATTTTCTCAAAACCCAGCCTTATCATCATAGGGGAGGTCATGATGGTACTCCCCTGGCCTCTTCTCCAATGGAAACAAAGAACAGGCAATACCTTGAGTTCAACTGCTCTTTGTTCTGACCAGTTTTTTTTTACTCTTCTCATCAACACTGAAACAAAGACTTTGCAAAAAGGAAAAGGGAAATATTATATACCATTAACAAAATATGGAATTTTTGGAATTTAAATTTGGAATATGGAATTTAAAAAAGGCTACAGTGATATACACATATTTATCTAGGGATATTGGTATGAGAGCAATAAAGTCATTTGAAGAAAGGGAAGAGTAGAGTTTGCCCATCCAAAATCTCCTTGTCCTCTATATTTGTAGCCATAAAGGAAATTATAGCCTAAATTCCATTCATTATCTGGGTCATACTTAGTGTCCCTGGGAAGACAATTAATATTTATTTTTTGGGATACTGATAGACTTTTTTTTCTTTTTTATGGAAAGGATTGTGGAAAAGTTTAGATTCTCAATTTAAGAAAAACAAAAAACAAAAAAAAAACACATTGTAAAATTGTTTTCTTGGGGAAAACATCTCAATTCCTGGACATGTATCAAGCTCTGCCTTGGACAATCCTGCCAGAGACTGAGGCAGAGAAACTGTTGTCCAGACATTACCCAGCACAGGAAGGCTGCAGCTCCCACAAGAAGTATGGAGCCCATGGTTTGTGCCAGTGTGTGTCTGTGTTCAGTCTTTCCATAGAGTCATAATGAGGACATTTCTGTTTCACACTTTATCTTAAAATATTTTGTTCTTTGTTGGCAATATCTATAATTCACCACTGCTCTGGAAAGGTAAGGACAGTTTCTGAAGCATGTGAAAAGTCCCTTAGGCTGAAGGCCACCCAGTCAAAGTCATCTATAGGCATTCAGAAGTGGCAGGGTCTTTTAGTGTTTATCCCTAGGCCCTAGTGTTTTGATCAACTCTGCTCACTGATAAAGGACTAAGACACCATGATCACAGATCCCAGGGACAAAAACTCGCACTTTCTCCATGTGATTGCTTCAATTCTGCTGTTCTTACCCACCCATGGGATCATTGAGAACCTTTTCCAGAGGCTCTTCTGTTTCTTTGTTCCAAAGTCACTTTTCTGTGGTGCCCATGTTGCCCATGACTGGCTGACTCTTACAACTAGCATGGCCACCTCCAATCAGAAACATAGAGAAGAGGTCAAAGTGAGGTGAATGACTAGATCCTAATCAAAAAAGGAACTAAAGAGCTCTTCTTGATTCTCTACTTCCCTTGTCTCCATTACAAAGCATTGGACTTGGCACTTCATCTTTTCTGTGTGATCACTATTGAGTGTGTCAGTTAGCACCCAAGGGGATGGTAAAGGGAGCTGATCTACTGTATTGTAATGTAAAACAGCTACAACCAGTTATTTTGTAAGATTATAAGATATTCATTAAAAAAATCAGCACACAAAACACTACGTGTCTTTAATGTCATTCTTTGTGTAAATTAGTCTATCATTTCTGAATCTGGATTGTGCCAGGTCCAAACATCAGTCATTGGTTAATCAGTTGATTAATCATTGTTTTAAAAAATGTAATATAACTAGGATGTGTAAGGAAGGTAAGCATGAAAATTCAAAAGAAGAGATGGCACTTACAAAAGTAGAGTGTATAGTGGTGATGTCAAGTTCCTTGTGAGATGCACAACAATGTGCAAGAGTCATTTACAATTAAAAGGAAATAGACATTACCCCTGGATGCCAAAGGTATGTATGTTTGAAGGATGGTTGGTGAAGGATGCATATGATTTCATAAGGGTTGGAGGAAGTGGAAACAGGAGTGAAGATGTGGAGATAAGAATGGGAAAGGCTGCCCATTGCTGGACATCAGTGAAGCAGGCATTTCAGCTTAGCCGGGAGGTATAGAGTATAACACATACCCTATATTTGATAAAGACAATCTTATTAAATCCTCACAAAGATCTGCAAATCACATATTCTCACTTTATAGATGAGAACCCTAAGCACTAGTCTACCAAAAAAAGTTCTCTTAAGTCACACATTTAAGTTAGGTTCAAGCCTAGACAGTGGGATAGCACAATGTAAGAAGGAAAGGAAGCATAGTGGCTAATAAGACAAAGAGAGGAGGAGAAAAATGTTAAAAATAATGCCTCTACAACAACTTTTCTGTCATGATTGACAGAAAAGAAAAGGGAAGCCAGGAGCAGTAAGAGTATAAATTTGTTCTTTTCATAAACTCCATTTGAGGACCAGAAAGATAATTAATTGTGAATGTTATATAGATCAGTGTTCAGAACCCTGTAGGAAGCTTCTGCAGCTGAGACAAGCTTTCTAAGTTCTCTGGCCATGCCAGACACCACCTGGCTACTGAAAGGATGAGGTGGGTATCTCACAACACCTATCAGCCATTTGGAAAGTCTTGAGGAATAGATAGTTGGAAATATGGCTTGGAACTCAGTAAAGAGGTTTGTGGTTAGAAATAAACGTGATATAGTAAAAAGAATTTTCTTTGATGATTGTTTCTTTGCAAAGTACTTTCATATACTTTCTGGCTACCCATGGCTAATCACAGCAAGAACAGTTTTGTTTTGCTTTTTTCCATTTTATAGATGAAGAAACTAAGTGACAGAGAGGTTATTGGAAATTTTAAGTTCATGTATCAAAGTGTAGGTTGGGATGGGAATCTAAATGTTTTTGCTCTCAGATTTAATACATTTTCTACTACACTATATTTAGCCCACTAGACCCAAGAGTAAACTCAGACTCAATTGCGATGGGAAATTTTAACATCATTTTACCTTTTATGTTTCAAGGTGCTCATTGGTTGTCTTAGTAGCTGAGTCTATTTCCTGTCCTGCCTGCTATCTATGGCAAATGGTAGCACCCTTCTTCATCCAGTCCCTGAGTAAAAGCAGACGCCCTTGCACATGCAGTTAGGACAGCTGGACAGAAACATCTGGCAATGCTGCCCTCTTTTTAATAGCTTCCCCAGGGAAAGTCCTGGACAGAAACTTTGGAGCTCTGGTTTCCATTGACTGACAAACTTAAATGACATGATGAGTCATCCGTAAGTTGGGAGACATACTAGATGGTCTTAGATTTAGACCATCCAGATAATGAGGAGCTCTTTGGGGTGGAGGAGGTAATGAGAACACTTTATGCTTAGAAATAGTTCTAAGTTCTGAAGTTGGCTTTGGGTCACCTTTGGGTGCCCTGGGAATATAACTAGTTCTGGGCCATTTCAGGTTTCCTAATGGTTAGCCCAGAAGAAAAGGGGTAGTGATGAGAATTGTATATCCTACAATGATCTCTGACCATAGAATCTTTTATATGTGCCTTGGATA